CACCCCCCCCATCCCGCGGAGATGCCTTCGGTAGGAGAGGTACGCTGTCCCGGTAGAGGCCTCGGAACGGGCCGCGGGGTGCCCTTCCTAGGGGAGGAGGTACAAAGGCGGCGCGGGGCCGCGGTGTCGGGGCGCGCAGGGCGAACGTTTCGCTTTTTCGGCCTTTCAGGAGTCTCCGAAGTCGGCCAAAAGCACCACAAAGCCCGGCGGCGGCAGCGGGAAGGATGGCGGGGCTGAGAATTCGGAAGAGGTAAGGCTTCCGCCTCGCACGGCGCTGTCCCCGCGTTCCTGCAAGGGAGGATCCCTCCCGGATCCGTGGGGTCTGAGCAGGGAACGGCAAAGGCGAAAGTTCGCACCAAGTTAGTGCCCCTCGAGCTGCGGCCCGAGGGGAGCGACGGAGGAGTCACGGCGAGCCTCCTGTCGTGCAGCCCTGCAGAAAGGCCTGGCACAAAGCTGGGGGCAGTGTGGTGAAGCTGGCTGCAGGGAGAGACATGGCAGCCTCTGAGGTGACTGCTGTGTGGCCTCGCCTCGAGCGCTGCGTGCTACTGTGGGAGCCAGGATGTAAGCTATAAAACATCAGCCTCCAAAGGAGGGATATGAAGGTGGGGAAGGGTCTAGAGGCCAAGATGAATAAGGAGCAGCTGAGGCCCTTGGTTTACTCAACACAGAGCAGAGGAGCTGAGGGAGGCCTCATGGCAGCCTGCAGCTCCTCGTAGGGAGCGGAGGGCAGTGTGAAGCTCTGCTCTCTGGAGACAGCGACAGGGTCCAAGAGAATGGTGTGGAGCTGCGTCAGGGGAGAGCAGGTGCGGGTGAGGGAAAGGTTGCACCCCAGAGGGCGGTGGGCATGGCAGAGGCTGCGCAGGGCAGTGGGCACAGCTCTGATGCTGGAGCTTAGGGTGCACTGGGACACCACTGACATTGGGGCTGAGTGGTCCTGTGTGGAGCTAGGAGTTGGATTCAATTATCCTTGTGGATCCTTTCCCTCTGGGGATATTCTATGAGTCAATGAGAGGAGCCATTGCTCCTAGGGAGGAGGAGGCCTGACAGACAGGAGCAGTTGCACTGCTCCTGTCAGAGCAAAGCACAATCAACTCTGTTGTCACCTGGTGTCAGAGTGGGAGAGTAGTGAGGAGTCAGAAAAAAGGAGCTTGTTCTTGAAAGGCATTTTCTGGGGGAGTGAGGCTGCGAAATAATTGCTAGGACACCTCAAAGAATAGGGATAAAGTGCTAGAGATGAAGTGATTCTTCTTTGTATAACTGCTTCATTTCTGAGCTCAGCATTACTCACAAAAAGGCACAATCTGTATTCCTAACTATGCAGAGTCTCATTCTCAATTTTGATGTTGCCAATCTGGATGTATTAGGATGGCTTCAGCAGAATGTGATAACATGAAAAGCTGTATAAGAACTAACAAAAATTTGGGTCAGCTGGAGCTTTTCTGGCAGACTTGGGTCTGTCCAGCACCCAAACAGTGTGCTTGTGGGTTCTGAGACTTGGCTTGGAAGTGCATTGTATGCGTGTCCAACAAAGGATGCATGCGTATGTATGGTGGTATGGCTTTTGTTTTGTTTTTTTGTAATTCTGCAGTTTGGCAAACAAGCTGTGTCACTTCTACGTCCACAGAAGCCTGTGTACTCATGTCTTGTTTGGAATGTTTTGCACTTATGATTTGGAGGATTGGGTATGGGAGATGTCAGGCTAATGAAGACCTGGAAGACTTCCGTGGTTCATGGGAACATCATCGTCCAAATAAGGTTACTTTAGGGTCTCCTTCAAAGCATGGACCTGTGTTGCACAGCCTCAGAAATTATCCTTACTACAGCCAATCCAGTTCAAGGTTCAAGCCGTGCTCATGCCTAACCTGCCTTGTAGCCAGCAGAAAACCAGCTGAGTTTGTTTGCCTTGGAGCTGGTGGCAATTTTGTAGATTCCTCTTTGTATATCCCATCCCTGTCTTGGCCTCTGCCTGTTTTATTTTGTGTATACAGCTACAAACGGCTTGCTTGAGGGCTGTCTGCTGATTTAACAAGTGAGGGAACGCCTAGTTTGGCATCATGGGGTCAGGCTCACCTTTTATTTATTTGGTACTCTTTGTTTGTTGAGTTCCCATCTCTAGGAAGAAGAAGGAAGCCTGAATCTTGCAATGTAAAGGTGATGGAGAGCCACCAAAGCAGAGCACTGTGATGTCCCCATCCAAACCCATGGTGTGTGGCTGTGTTTCCTGGTAACGAGTGCTGCAGCCAGAGAGGGAGAGTTAGTTACAAGTTTTCTTCCATTACCTGAAATGGCACATAATGTATGGTTGTTCCTGGCCACGGGAGAAACTTAGAAGAGATGTGTCTAACCTTCCCTCCCATGAAACATACCCAGCCACTTCCTCATACCCCAGACAAAATCCAGCCCTTCTTTAGGATGGAAGGCTGGGTCTCCTTTGATCGTAGGAACAGAGAGCAGAAAGGAGACACCTCTCCACTGTGCTGCTGCCACAGGTCTCATCTCCATTTCCCTGTTGAGTTTGCGGTGAAGTTTGTTCTCTCTTGGTGCTTTGCTGTCTCGAGACTGCTCTGCTGCAGAATGGAAGAGAGCTTTTTGCTGGATGAGAAGAAATGTATACCAGTTTGAATGCAATTTTCCTGCTCTTCAGGAAGCACAGAAAGGTATTTCTGCTTTAATACTGGGGGTAAGGAACTTGGTCTGTGCGCTAGGAGCTGGACTTGTTTCTTGTGTTGGAAGCAGGAGGGGCTTTTGTCCTTACGAAACACCTGGAGCAGTATTGTGTGGTAGGAGTTGATGGAGTCTCTTGACTTGTAAATTCTTCCGCGGTGTTATGGTTGTTTGGTTACCTTTCTGAAGGGGTGCTGAACAGAATTGTCAACTTTGTGTCTCAGTAGATCAAATGTTTGATGGACTTGCAGCAGGAGAACATTATTTGGGCAGTTCTTCCAGCATGCTTTTTCTTCCTTTGCGCTGTGCTGCAGGGAGCAGAGGAGATCTCACAGTCCTCATTTATCCTGGTACCAGAAAGCTGTGACTTGTTCTGCAGACAAGTTGTCCAGCTGGTGGAATGAGTAAAGCTCTTTGAAGAGCAGCTCTCCTTTGACAGACAGGAGCGATTGCGGCAGACTGGGACCTCCTGTGAGGATCTTTGTGGAGGGAGAAGAAGAGGGAAGGAAGCCTGTAGTGTTTTATTCTTCGCAGCAAAGGAGTTTTTTGTGGAGCTGAGGTGGAGGGGCAGGGGCATTCAAAAGCGGGTAGGTCCCCACCAGAGGTGGTGTTTGAACTACCTACAGGGGGTAGTGCAGTGCTCTGTTGGTGAAAGTGGCTGAGGTGATGAGGCAGCATAGCTTGGCCAGTCCCTGGCTTTGGAGAAGCATAATTTGCTCCAGAAGAGTTTGGAGCAGTGGAAGAAAATGTGAGAGCGGAGAGTGGGGAAATAAAAGATTTTTTTAGATCGTTCCCTGTGGAATGTGACGAAGGTATGAACGGAGAGAATTTCTGTGTAGCTATTTAAGGAGAAAAAAGAAATAGAAGAGCACATGTCAGAGTGGATGAGAGGATGATAAAGAGTTACTCTTGGCCAGAAAGCCTGGGAGAGGCAGCTGGGTGGTGAAGAGAGTTAATGACCTGGAAGTGAGAGCAGGGATTAGCAGCAGCAGTAAAGAGGGGTTGCTTTGCAGCCTCAAGGACAGCTTGGAGCCTCGCTGATGAGATGCACAGCTCTGGGAGAGGGTGCTCCTTTTCACTGAGCTGCTGTATTACGTGTTTTGCAGATATCTCCATGGGGCTTGTTATGCAGTACCTGGAGTTCATTATTCAGACATAAGCGTTACAGTGTGTTGGTGTTACTTCTGAGACAGGGAGGTTGATTTTAATAGGGGAAGCCGTGTAACAACAGACAAAGAACAGGTACTGACTTGAGGGATGGGAAGGGAAGAGTCATCTGAGGAGGAGGAGGAGCTGAGAGCCGATCTGGGCTGGAAGCTTAGCAAGCGGGGGATGCTCAAGGGACCAGTGAGGCAGAAGGGCTTTCCGAGTGGCGATACACCCAGCTGCAGTGGGAGTGCCTGCAGAGGTGAGGTCATGGATGGGAAGGAGAACAGAACAGAGGCTGACGCTGCGCTCAGAGTGGCTGGGAGAAGAGCATCTCCTGGAGCCCGGAGTGAATAGAAATGGCACAGAGCGGGCCCAGGGCCCGAGGCTCATTGACTTGTACTGGCAAGCTCTTAGCAGGGAGGAGAGGTGGTGGGAACTAACAGGGAGGAAATGCCAGGCAGCTGGGGACCCGGTGCCTCGGGGAGCTCAGATGTGCTTGTGATTGGGGCTGGCCCCTCCTGCTGGCAGAGCAGCCCGCTCCACTGCAGCGGGAAAGGTGGGGCTGCTGCACCGCGCTTGGGCAAACTGCTTTGTGCTGTTCCCTGCTCGCTCCAGCACACATGGCTCACAAACAGCATCTCTCCGAGCGGCTGGGGTGGTGTCAGGAGTGGGGCTGAAGCCTGGTTTGATGTGCTTGTGTTGGTCAGCTGATGCTGATGTCAGGGAAACTGTGAGGTTGATACCTGGTGTTAAGGGAAAAGCTTTGTTTTAGCAGTCTGGTATGTTCCCAAGGATAAAACTGTGTTAAAGAAGCTTGTAACAAGCCTCTCCTCTCCTGATTCATGTTACCAAAGTAGGGGGATGTTGAAGGCAGAAGGATGGTGGGCCTGATGCAGGAAGAGCCTCCTGAAAACAAGAATTCAGACCGATGCCACGACGTCAATGTAGAAGTAATCAATGCTAAAACCCTTTGAGTGCTGCAGCATAAGAATGTATCCGGCCTTCCCCGTCACTGGGTTTTCTCTAGGAAATTTTATGTGATACGTGCATATATCCATTTTCTAAAGAACAGTTGAAGCTGTGTTTTGTCTCCATCCATTCCCGATATGGAAGACTAGAAGCTAGTGGCAGTGACTTTTCCAGTCTCCCTAGTGAAGGGGACATGGCTGTAGACTGTTGGCCTGCAGTACACATACCATGGTGGGAACATGTGGCGTTGCTGAGTGGGTGGGGAATGTACAGACACGTTCTGTCAGCCTGAGATGTCTTCTAGCAGGACCCATAGGTTCTTCCCTGAGTGTTACCTGTAAGGTTATTGATGCACCTTTTGTCTCTCTCTGTACCGCCTTTCCCCTGTAGTGGCTCAGCATTCATAATCTGCCCTTCTTCCCTGTGGAAGGAGGGTGATCCAGGTTCCCCACGATGCAGGTGCTCTTCTTGCACAGTGATGCTGTGCTGCACCTCCTTGGAAAATGTGAGGACTCAGTTCAGGGCAAGGACTGTTCCTGTCTTGGGTAAGCTGCAGGTAAGCCAATCCTCACAGGGAAGTACTGACCGTATCTTGTTTGGAGGAGAGCTCAGATAAGCCTCTGCACTGCTGGTGCTTTCCCCCAAAATACTCGTTGGCATTCTGGGGAGAAATGGGAACATTGTGCTCTCCCAGCAAGTCTGGAGTAGGCTGACTTCCTTCTTGAGATGTTTCCCTCTTCCATGAGTTTTCAATGAGTTGCATCAGTGTGATGTTACCGAGTCAGATAATAACCACTAAGGCTGGAGTGGGACTCAAACCAGCAGAACTTCAGCCAGAACAGAGCTGAGCTGAGAAAGCGCTGGCTTGAGTTTCCAGTTACCTGCTAAAAATAAGGAAAGCGTCTCTAAGTTCTTTTTAAGAGGCACCAAGTTGAGAGGACATCTCTACACAAGAGTTTGTATCAGTAAGCTCTTATAACTTGTTGCAAGACCTGGCCTTGCTTTCCATATCTGTAGCACCACACGTGCTGGAAAGCTCTGATGCCTTCATAGTACCTCACAGGCATGAGCAGAACTGATGTACGCTTTGCAGATAGCGCTGCCCGTGCAGCCAGCTGACACACAGCCTCACAGAAGTGGATGAGGTGTGCTGAAATGCAAGTGCAATGGTGCAAATGTGCCCAGTTTCTTCAGTCCAAGAAGATACTGACCATGTCTTATTGCCTGTGAGCCTTGTAGGTAAAAGCTTGTGAGTTTTGTTTGACTTTCTTTTCCATCACAGGCCCAGCAGCCGCAGCAGCAGCCTCAGCAGCAGCAACAACAAACAACTTCGAATAAACGCCCCAGTAACAGCGCTCCCCCGCCAACCCAGCTAAATAAGATCAAGTACTCAGGGGGACCCCAGATTGTGAAGAAGGAGCGTCGACACAGCTCTTCTCGCTTCAATCTGAGCAAAAACAGGGAACTGCAAAAGCTTCCAGCCCTTAAAGGTACAGAAACTGTTAGCAACCTTCCTAACAAGCTGTGCTTTCTCCAGGCGGAAGAGCATGAGGGTTCTTTCCAGGGTGACCCTGGTAGTCTCCTGCCAGCAGTGCTGTAGGGATGACTCTGGGAAAGGTGCTTGATGTGGCAGCAGGTTGCGAATTGATGAATAGCCTAAAAGAAAAAGAGAATATTCTATATGAACTTGATTATTTGCTTTCCCATTTGAAGCAGTTGAAGCCCTGGTGCTTACATTTATTTGAGGTTGCTTCAGATTCTTCAGCAGTTTGTGTGGGAGGGTGGTAAAGTGTGGAGAACTTAGTAGAGACTGCTCTTGGCTCCTGCAGTCACCTGTTCCTGGGAGAATACCAGACCACCTTCTCCTCCTCAAGTTTCCATTGCAAGTTATGATAGTGCTGTTGAACTTGTCTACGTTGGGACAATTATCCAGCATTAGCAGTTAGTATCCATAATGGTGCAATTAAAGGTGCCTTAAGTAGAGACATGGAGAAAGTGTTGTCAGCAGTCACTCAACCAGGCCTGTTGCTGACACTGCTCACAGAAACAGGCCTTTTAGGAAAGGTGGCTGTCTGATAGTTCAGTTAGTCTATGAAGGAAGCTCATAAAGTGAGTTTCTTTTCCACAGTAGCTTGCAATGGGAAGGGATTGATGCTTAGTAGATCAGATGTCTGCACAGTGTTTGAAATCGCCAGATGGAATAGTTGTTCTTTACCTCCATTGTCCCAGTCTCCATATTAGGGTTTACTCTCCCTCCTACCACACCAGCTCAAGGGGGGCTGTGACTAAAGAAGGGAATGCATGCTTGGGGGTGAACCATGCTGATTCCTAGGCGAACCAGATAGATGCTTTGCCTACCTCGGAGGTCTGACAATCCCTATTTTCTCTTCCAGATGCTCCTCCACATGAGCGAGAAGAGCTTTTCATCCAGAAGCTGCGGCAATGCTGTGTGCTTTTTGACTTCATCTCTGACCCCCTCAGTGACCTGAAATTCAAGGAGGTGAAGCGAGCAGGTCTCAATGAAATGGTAGAATACATCACGCACAACCGTGATGTCGTCACTGAGGCCATCTATCCTGAAGCTGTCATTATGGTAGGGCATGGGGCCAGCATGTGCTTGTTTGCCAAATAAATGGGGACTGTTCAGATGCGTGTGCTTTTGGGAGGGAGGGAAGAGAAAGAAAAACAGATTTGTCAGAGAGGAGTGTGACCTCAGTCTTTCCCATCCTTTGTAAAGAGAGGTGGAAGTTTTTTTCCCTGGCACAAACTTCCCTTGTGAAGTTTATTTGTAACCCTGCGGCCTCTAGGAGGAAAGCTTTTTGCTATGGTAAATGTGTTGCTGTGCAGTGAGGGATTTGCTGCAGGAGGCCCATCGTAAGAGTAGCGATGTCATTCACTGTCCTTTTTGCTGACCTCAGTTTTCAGTGAACCTCTTCCGGACACTTCCGCCATCATCCAATCCCACAGGAGCGGAGTTTGACCCTGAGGAAGATGAGCCTACATTAGAGGCTGCCTGGCCACACCTACAGGTGAGGAGAAGGAAGGTACAGATCTGTGAAGCTGAGGGTCTGTGTCATCTGGATGTCTGCCCAGTAAGTGAGGGCTGCTGTGTGCTAGGATAGAGAAGGGCCAGGCCATGGGTGAGAAGCAGCATGTAGGCAATGCAGGCGATAGGGGCATTCTGGAAAGAAGCTGATGGCTCTGTACAGCATTCACCTGCAGGTGGCTGTATTCTCATGTGGCACTGAGGTAGGCTGGAACACTTTGCTGGGAGTAAAGGGAATTGTGCCATATTGTCTCTGTAAGAAGCATTTCCCCACAATGATAATTCCAATCCTGATGGTTAAAGAGCTCTCATCCTCTAGGCTTCAGCAGTATTGGAGACAGCACCCTTGTCTGTTTTGGCACTCCTCCTTGCCATGGTCTCTTGGAGGCATGTAGAGGAGTAGGAGTGCTTGTTGCCAAAGCAAAACCTATGCTAGCACCTGCTAACACATCTCTTTTATATTTATGTAACACAGTTGCAATAACTGGGAGCAAATGTGACCAGAAAAAAATGGGGAACAGGAGTGGAAGAAGAAGAAAAGGGGCTGAGGATTTCTTCAGTAAGCTGTGTCCCGAGAAATAGTTTAAGACAAATTAGGTGAAAAGCGTTATGAAGGCAAGAACAAACATGATTAATAGAGCTCAGAAGTGTAAGTCAGGAGGTAAGTTTATAAGAGTCTCCTCAGACACTTGCCGGGAGACATGCAGTCAATCTGACAAAGGCAGAGCAAGAGCTAGTCGCTGCAGGATGAGGCAAAAATACAGAGGACATAAAGTGCAGTTCTGCAGCAGTGGTTAATCACTTCTCACTGCTCTGGTTGATGTAGGGATGTGAGTGTTGACAGGAGTGGTATTTCCTCAGCACCAGTGTGCTGCAAATGGTAGGAAGCATTTATTTCTTAGAACTAAGTCAGCAGCAGGCAGCACAGGCCTGTGGCAAGAGGTCCACTGCTGAGTTTTCATCATGACCTCGGGTTTTTTTGTGCTGCTGTTCTTGGCAGCTCAGTTTCACCTGTGGTTGGGTGGCCCCACAGCTCCTTCAACTCTAAAGTTAGAACCTGGGGATACAGTGCTCTAGTTTGGCCTGGTCGTCCCTCAGAGGCACTCTCTCGACAGGTTCTGCCTTTGGGTAATCTTGCCAGTCTAGGGCAGCAGTAGCACTGGAGGTTTCAACACTAGCAGCCTTCTGAAAGCAAGCTGCTGTTCTTCTGGGATTGTGACACAGCATGAATCTCACGTGGTTTAGTGGAGTCAATCCAAATCTGAAGCCAGTTCTCAGGGATCAAGAGGACACAGTATTTTCCTGGGGTCCATTTCATGTCTGCTCTTTTGTTCTTCCTCGGTGTGTCTCAATGGCTTCCAAGAAGAGAAGGCTCTGGAGGGACCTTATAGTGTGGCCTTCTAGTACCCAAAGCATGCCTACAGGCGTGCTGGGAAAGGACTTTCTGTGGGGGCATGTAGCAACAGGACAAGGGGAGGTGTCTTTAAACTGGAAGGGGTAGATTTAGGCTAGATACTGGGAAGAAATTTTTTACTCTGAGGTTGGTGAGACCCTGGAACAGGTTGCTCAGAGGCATTCAGTGCCAGACTGGATAGGGCTGTGAGCAGCCTGGTCTAGTGGGAGGTGTCCTTGCCTATAGCAGGGAGTTGGAAGTAGATGATCTTAAAAGTCCCTTCCAACCCAAACCATTCTATTCTATGATGCTAATAAACCTAAGCCTCTGTCTTCTCTTCTGGAGGTTTCTGTTCTCTGTAGAGGTGGGGACTGAAGCTAGGAGATTTTCCCAGGCTTAGTGTCTTGATCTGAGTAGGTGGCTTTTGTCTTTGGCAGGACCTGAAATGATGAGGTCTCATGCAGACTTGGGCAGTTATGTGCCACTGCTCCATAGCCCATTATAGTGAGGGCAGCTGAATCGGTGTCAGTGGGTGAGGAAATGTGTATTCCTGTGTTTTCTGTGCCCCCACTTAGGCTTTCCAGCCTTCTTTCAAGCCCCTAAGGAGATGGAAAACATGTAAAACGTGAAATAAACAGTGATGAGGAAATGAGGAGGATTTCTAAGCGATCTCTTTTTCCTCCTGCAGCTGGTGTACGAGTTCTTCCTCAGGTTCTTGGAGTCCCCTGATTTTCAACCAAATATAGCGAAGAAATACATTGACCAGAAGTTTGTACTGTCTGTAAGTAATCATAGCCCCTGCCACTGTGCAGCACCTTTGTGAAGGACATGCAGTAGACTTTGGCCGAAGTTTTATGCAAACAGTCCAGTTTAATCAGGAAATATTAGATAATTAAAGTTTTCTTTCTTCTTATGTCTTTTCTAGACATAAGAGCAGCTAGAACTATTAGAGCTGGGCGAGAGGGCATGCAAGCTGTAGTCTCTGGAATTTGTTATCATTGGTGGGAGAGGGGCAGTGGGGGCCTTGCAGGAGGAGCATGGGAACACACTGCTTTGGAGAGTGTCCAGGCCATTGCTGTGCTTTAGAAGATGAATGCTGATGGTACCAACTTGTGGCTAGGGGGGTGACCACTGTGCTCAAGGTGCTGAAGGCATCTCTTGGCTGGAGGAGCCGCTTTTGCTGAGTAGGAGCAGTGCCTAGTGTTGCTCATAGCCTCATCCAGGCAGTCCAGACACTGAATTTCTGTCCCCACAGCTGCTGGATCTCTTTGACAGTGAAGACCCCAGAGAACGTGACTTCCTAAAGACTATTCTGCATAGGATCTATGGGAAGTTCCTGGGTCTGCGAGCGTATGTGAGACGGCAGATCAACAATATATTTTACAGGTGAGGTGTTTCCTAGTGCCACTGGCTTGATGAATGGTTGGTACAACACAGTGAGAGCGATTCTGAGCATTGGACTGTCCCTAATGTAGGTTTGAATTAGCCAAGTAACTTGGTTATATCATTCTGTTTTGGTATGGACAGCACTGGCCTGTGCCTAAGAGCAGCAGAGGTTTGGTAGTGCTGTCTTCAGCATACATAGCAAACGTTGGGATTGGTGAATGTTAGCTTCTCTGAAGTTGTGTTGATCAGGGAGCAGTGAATAGACTATTTGCCTCCATCTTTCACATCTTGAACTGTTTTCTCAAAGTTCTGTTTTCTAGAAGAATATCCTTCTCCACTGTTTTTCCTTCCTTTTCTTTATCAGACTGGATCCAGTGTTTGGCAATGACATTCTTCTCTCTTCAGGTTCATCTATGAAACAGAGCATCACAATGGGATTGCAGAACTGCTGGAGATCCTAGGAAGGTAAAGATGGTCTTGTAAGTCCCAGAGGATTCGCAGTGCATGACATGTCCTAGCTCAGTGTGCTGTGTGAGCTAGTAGTGCCCTCTGCCAGCTGGTGTTGCAGGTGCTATCTTCAGAGAATCTCTGGTGAAGCACACAGTGCTTTCCATCCTGCTGACAAATGCAGTGATAGTTTTCCCCACATCCGTCTGCTCTTCTTTTGAGTTTGAGTCCAGCCACACTTACTGCCTGCTGAGGCAAAAGAGCTTCTCACAGCCTTGAGAAACTGTAGCAGTGGGCAGCCTCCTCCATGGCTTTCACTGCCCTTCAGCAGAAGCAGCCCTCTCTTACGCTGCTGTTATTCTGTTCTGTTGAAACTGAGCCTTGATGTCTGGGCTACCTCTGTGCTGGACTTCCCCAGAGGTTCTGTTAAATTGTGTCTGAAGGTTCCTGTGGAGCCTTGGCTCCTTTAGAGGCTTTTCCCTGCCATGCCTGATAAGGAAGCATGCTTTCACTGGATATGTTTTGCAAGGTGGGGCCCCAGCAACTGTACTTCCAGTGGTAGGTGTTCTCTCCAGTTATTAATGAAAGCTAAGGCATCTCACTTATTCTTCTGTGGTGAGACATACTGTGTTTCTGCTGGATAAAGAAATTAATGAGATTCTTGTTTCTTTTCAGCATAATCAATGGGTTTGCTCTGCCTCTGAAGGAAGAGCACAAAATGTTCCTCATCAGGGTCTTGTTACCACTGCACAAAGTGAAATCTCTCAGCGTGTACCACCCACAGGTGAGAAGTGCTTCAAGTCTTCAGGGCAGAATGCAGTTCTTGCAGTAGTGCTTATGCAGGTTTGCTTGTAGCTATTCTTCAGGCTGCATTACTCTATTACATGACCTTCTTGCTGTAAGATGTTTGGGGCTTTTCACTGGCTCTTTACTGTGGTGATTTGTCCCAGCCTTGCAGTGTCTGGGCCTGTGTGCATTATGAGTGTGCTTTTTTGGCACTGGCTGATAGGAAGGTATCCTCCACTTCCTGCTGACTTAATGCTCTGACCTGCTTTGCCTCTCTGTTATGGAAGATTGTGAAATATTGGTGCATTACTGAAAGGAGGGGTAAAATTCAGAGCTCCATTCATCAGCCTCTGTATGTGATGTGTCAGCTGTTAGTCATTGCTGAGATATGCAGGTGGTTTGGAGTGCTGGACTGCTAGACTGGCATAGAGATTAATTTCTTGCCATTTAGAAGTCATAAGAGAAGAGAAGCATGGAGATTAGGACTTGAGCTTGGAAGCAAAAAATGGATGCTGAACAGTGATGTCTGTTCTCCCAGCCTTGTTTTTACTGGTTTGCTCCTTGTCATGTGTGTGGCTGTGCTTGCATTAGAGTGCATTAGCTGTGGGCTGCTCTAGGTGACTCGTGTTATTCTGTAAGGTTGCATGCACTCACTAAGCTCAGGCCCTATCTAGTCTTAAGGCCCACTTGCCATCAGAAGAATTGGGACTGACTTAATGCAGTCTGATAGCGTTAGGACGAGGGGGGATGTCTTTAACCTAAAAGAGGCAAGGCTTAGGTTAGATATGAAGAAGTTTTTTACTCAGAGGATGATGGGGCACTGGAACAGGTTGTCCAGAGAGGTTATGGGTGGAGACATTCAAGGTTGGGTTGGATGGGATCCTGGGCAGCCTAATTTAGTGGTTGACAAACCTGCCCGCAGCACGAGAGTTGGAATTAAATGATCTTTGAGGTCCCCTCCAACATAAGTCGTTATGTGATTACAACTGGATTCATTTGGAGCTGCAGCTGTCTGCTTGTCACACACACTGTGGAGGGCCCAACGTTACTTCCAGTTGTGGGTGGTGGTGTTGCTTGTATCTCCAGTAGACTTGAGGAAGCTCTGACTTTGCCATGTGTTCTCCTGCAGTTGGCATACTGTGTTGTACAGTTCTTGGAGAAAGACAGCAGCTTGACAGAGCCGGTGAGTAACCTTTCTTAACCTCTGCATGACAGTCAAGTCCCCAAAGCTTCACAGCTTCCTTAGGGCTCAGAAAGTGTGAAAAGAGGCTGCAGAGACCAGGGAGGATGTAGATTATTTACCGAACTTGCTTGGCACCTTATGGGCAAAATGGACGGTGCTGCTCGTGTGCAGGCCTTTCTGAAAGCTTCAGGAACATGGCTGAAGTTTGCCTTTGTGCTTCAGATCTATACCAAGCATCCTTTCAGGGCAGAGCCAGTGATAGATTCTGCAGAGACAAAACAAATAGCTTTCTGACACCTGGTGGAGCCAGCGTGAACTCGCAAAGACTTTGAAATAGTAAGAGTTCAGTCTGCCAGAGTTGGCTGAAAAACTGTCAGAATGAGGTTATAAACCTGGAACCCAGAAGACTATTTAGGCAAGCCCCTGTTTCTTGATGAAAGTATTCTTCCTGCTCTAGCATCAATATGCTAACTCCACAGCATTAAGCCACAGTGCAGAGACATATGCCTTCAGGATGTAGTGCTGTTGAGACAGCAAGTTCTAAAATGTGTGAGCAGAGGGTCCCTCATGTATTCCAGTTACTGGCTACGCAGGCATGCAGTGTTAGCCAGACTGTATGCTGGTTTGGCAGGGGGTTGGCAAGAGACAAATGTTTCTCCACCTACTGCAGGCCAGGAAATGTCTTCTACGGAGCTGAGCTTTGCAACCTCAAAACAGCAGATGGCCATGTGCTTGTGTCATTGTAGCAGGGAGCACCAGAAAGTGTGAGCATTTTAATGAGTAACACTAGCTTGAGGTCGTTCTGTTCTTTGGCTGAAATGTGTGTGTTTTTGGTGCTCAATGGAAGCTGGTCAGCTTTCTGGCTCTGCAGTTCTGATGCTGGAATGCTGAAACAGATCTTGCTTTTTTCTTTTCTTCCTTTTTAAATGTAGGACCTCAGTTTTCTGTGTTCCTAAAAGCCTGCTCTGAAACAAATTGTGTAAAGTAGCTTCCTGATCATGCTGAATACTTCCTGTAGCTTAAATCCAGCCTAGCAGCCTCCTGTCAAAGCACTCACTGTAGGGTGAGGGATAAGAGAGAAATGGGAAAGTCTGTCAATAATTCCAAGATTCATTCTGAAGCTTATTCAAATAATAAAGCTCATCACTGCTTGCTTAACTGGTGATCCGTGGATTAGAGACACAGCTCTGGTTTGTTGTCAGTGGGCCATTGCATAGGGTCCTTACCATACAGACTTGCTGAAACATCCTCCTTGTGAATGTTTTTAATAGTCTCCTGGTGTTACTGGGGTTATTGAAGTCTGGGGTTGTGCCCCAGCAAGGCCCTGACTGCAGTAGAAGATGTTGCCATCAGTGCTGAAAGGAGCCCAGGTCTTACTAGGTCTGCAGTCACTTAATGTGTGCCACCCAAACTGTGCTCAGTAAGGCTGAGCGTGGTAGCTCTTACATTACAGCAGCCTGAATGATTGCCAGGTGAGCAAGACTTCAGGTGTGCTAAGTAATAGTGAACACAGACTCAGCACACCTTGCACCACCTTAGCTGTAGGAGAAACTCTCTGAGTCACTGGAGCTGACTTTTGCCTCAATAGCAGACCTGAGTGACAACAAATGCTGAGGATACCAAGCTGCTACTTGAGCCTTGAGTTGGTGGCTCAGATGTTCCTCATCTTGCTGTTGCTTTGCCTACTGCTGTCCTTGTGCTGGGGTGAAATTTCCCTCATGCGTTTGCTTCAGGATCAGATTGCTGAAGTACAGAGTTTAGAATAGTAGCTCTTACCAGGAAATGGCTGTTTCTGTTGTCTGTAGAGTTAGTGCACAGTTAGCATTCCTGTAAACCCCATACTGATGGCTCCAGCTGAGTGAAGGTCTGCAAGATCATGGATTCTGTCTTTGACAGTACGTAGAAGTGGGTGGTTAGGCAAGGAAGTGATATTAATAAATGAAGTGGGATATAGCTCTATATTCCCCTAGTGTATTCCTCCACCATCTTGTAAGCAATAGTTTTCTCAGACAGAAGTTGCATCTATATTGTCATATTTCATCATCATCATTAGGTTTAGCCTCCATAAACTTATCTGCTCCTTTCTGGAACAGTCTGGACTCTAGACAAAAGTCCTCAAGAACGAGCTCTGTAATCCAGCTACCTTTGTATGTAATGGTATTTCCTTTTGCTCGCCCTCAATGTGGCCATTGCATTATTTGTTGGGTACTTTCTAGTGTTCAAGCTCTGTGGTATATTAAATAACAATTCCTTCATCACCTTCCCCGTAGCATTTCTGATTTTACTGGTAGATCTTTCATTGTTGCTCTGCGCCATCTGGCATCCCCTGCCCACTCTGAGTCGATCCTTCCTTGTTAAAGTGAGCTGGAGGAAGAAGTAGTTCTAAGCTTTGTGCTGGTAGTACCAAATGTTAGCATCCTGGGCAGCACTGCTGTCTTGTATGCAACTTGGCAGAGTTTGTGCTTTTCTCTTCCTTCTTCCCTAGTAACTCACCCTCACTCTCTGAGAGTGTCGTTATTTCTGTTGCTTCCTCTCCTTTGCTGTTGTGACCAGACTTTTAAAATCCTATTTCACACTCTGTGTTAACTTTCAGTCTCTAACACTGTGTCTGTACCCTTCCTACTCAGGTGATTGTGGGCTTGCTGAAGTTCTGGCCGAAAACACACAGTCCCAAGGAGGTGATGTTTTTAAATGAGCTGGAAGAGATCCTGGATGTGATTGAGCCATCTGAATTTGTGAAAGTTATGGAGCCCTTGTTCAGGCAGTTGGCCAAGTGCGTCTCCAGCCCACATTTCCAGGTGGGTCCCAGCTCAGGGAGTGGGTAGGGGTCTGACTTGTAACCCACTTGGCACGTGAGGGTTATGCCACAGCTCTTGAGCTTGTCTTTGTGGACCAGTGGCACGTGGTGTTGCCACCAGAGAGAGTACTGGGGTTCCATGTGGTGGGAGGCAGTGAGAGTCCTTGCCCAGCCACAGAGCAATCTCATGCAGAGGGGTAACTAAGCTGATCAGTGGATCCCCTCCTGCTGTGCTGTGCTGTGCAGCAGCTGGAGCAGAGGTACTCTGCTACCTCCTGTTTTAGCTGGCAGATGCAGTATAGAGGAGATCCATCCAGTGTCACCCTCTCACAGTAGGTCCAAGCTGGCTGCAGTACTAGGTTGAGGCTGATGAAAGAGGCTTGTGGAACACGAGTGGCTTCAGATGAGGTTCTTTGTATTATTCCAGCATTGATGATAGTTATACTGAAAGTGGAAAGTGTGCTTCTTCCTTGTTCCATGAAACGTGGCTTGCCCAGATGTGGGAGTGGGGTGAAATGGTGATGTAGCCCATCCCCGGGGTGGGTGTGACTGCACAGTGAGGCAGACTGCATCCGGTGTACTTTAATACAGTGATGAACAAAGCTGTGTTCAGAAGCCAAAAATGGGATCAAGATAGGTTGTGTGTAAAAATTTCCCAGAAGGGAGTGACTCTGGAAAGGACTCGGGGAGCTTGATCAAAATTAATTGGACGTGAACTGCTTGTTTGGTTGATGGGAACCAAAGGGCTAATGAGACCTTTACACCTGGAAGTAGCTACAGTAGGAAACTGGAACAGTACAGCACAGTGGGAAAAGGAACTTGAATGGAAGAAGGGAAAGGCTGGAGAAGAGGCGTCCTGTACTTCATACCAGTCCTCTTCTGCTACCAGCTCTTTGCAAAACAGGACTGAAAAACATGGACAACTTGTGAACACTTCACAGTCTAGGGGAATAAACCTCAAAGGTGTTCCAAACAGGAAGTCAACAGTTTCAGTGACTGCAACTTGTCAGAGAGCAAAAGTGAGAATCATCGTCTTCGTAAGTCTAAACACCTTGGTGTGGGAGAGTTTTCTCCAAGTGGATTGTGCACTAATCAGCAGTCAAAGGCTTAACAAGATACAATAAGTGGAAACCAAGGCTAGGTAAGTGAGCACGAGATGAGTTTCACTTCATTTACTCATGTGAAATGATATATTAAGAGGATATAGTGAGTTCTGTCAGACAAAATGTAGAACAGACTTAGATGCCTCTTTTCCCAGGTGTTTAGCTCATGCTCAAGCCAGTGCTAAGTGCAGAAATTCACACATCAGCTTGGTTACTGTGTTGCTGAAATTTGTAGCTAAATATGAAGAAGTGTGGTTGAATCTCTCTTGAAACTTGCCAGATTTGTTTGACGTGTTGGAGGAGAGTTGGTGCCCCGAGTCTTTCCATGTTTTCACCCATGCTAAATCAGGAAGATGGATTGTGATCCTGGTATTTGAAGCATGCTCAAATGCCTGGGGAGACTGTGTTAGAGAGAAGGCCAGGGAGGGATGGTGGCTGTGGAGCTTTACAATCTGAGGAAATGAAGGAGTCCTGGAGTTAGTCTGTGCCGTGACCTGAAGAGGATGATGTTACTGTGCTCAAGTGTTGTGTAGAGAGCATTGGAGTTAATGTTGGACTTGCCTGCTTAAGAATGCAACGTTTTCCCCTCAGGGAAGTGAGAAGTGTCTGGTTAAATGCCATAAGAGAAGGAACTCTAGGCAAAGGGAAAAAAAAAATGGCCATGCAGACGTTGGCAAAGGTCAGCCCTGCTGCCTGTGCTGCGGGGAAGTGTTTGCTCCTCAGCTGGGCGGTGGTAAGCTCTGGTCTCAGCACTGCACGGTTTCCACGTGCACCACAGGTGTTACTGGAAGGAGCCTCTCCAAGAATGGGTTTCTCTCCCACTGCAGGTGGCAGAGCGAGCGCTGTACTATTGGAACAACGAATATATCATGAGCCTGATCAGCGATAACGCAGCCAAAATTCTCCCGATCATGTTTCCAGCGCTCTACAAGAACTCCAAGAGTCACTGGAACAAGTAGGTCTTTCCGCATGCCCTGGCACTTGCTGTGCATGCAGGATTGCTTGACCTACTAGCGATCTTGGGGCATGCTGCTACAGTGCAATGGTGCATGGCACTGGGTGACACCAGGTGCTGAGACAGAGGGGGTGTTGTTAGTGTTGGCATGGGAAGGTGCCACAGCAGACCACGGTGGCCTGTAAGGTCTCAGACATCTTGCAGGGGTCGGCACCGTGGCTGTCGAGTCCACCCAGAGTTTGATACCTGCGTCTCCCTAGCTCTCTTGGAGGTGTGCTGTAGGTTTTCCAGCGGATTCTTGACTGCTTGTTAACTGATGATCACCCACTTGTGATGGGATACCTCGTCTGATGCACGTACCTGGCTGCCCTTGAGTACAGAAAGAATAGAGAAAGCAGAAACAGCTGGGCAGATGTCAGATTGCCTCCTGTGTCTGCACCCTCAATACTTGTCTGTGTTGTGGTCCTGCCCTAAACTTCCTTCTAGCCTGTCTTCCAACTACTTCTTACTGATTTCTTACCCATTTAAATCAAACTGCAGAACTTGCTTCTAATGCATTAGCTGAAAGTGCTTAGTCCACAGCTGAGATCCTGAAGCTTTCTTGTAAATAAATAAATAAATAAATGAAATACAGGGAGATGGGGGGGGAAAAAGTCATCTTCTCCTATTCCAGAGTATGGAAGTATCAAAGTAATTAATTCTGGGGAGACTGGACAAGACCAGGACTTAAGTGTATGCTGTGGTAGTAAAGACGGGGTTGTGAGGTAGAATTGCTCCTTACTGGCCTGCTGTTTCTCTTAGTTGTAGCAGGAAGCACAGACTTGAGCCATCAGGCAGGGCTGGTCTGAATGTGTGAACATCTCCATGCTGAGCTGTCCTGCTCTCTTTTCCATTCGGTGTCTGTCAGTCTACACATGCAGGCACCAAAGCATCACACTCCGTGCATACGTTTACCAGAAGACAGACACATGCATGTGCAGACAGGCACACACACATACAGACATGTGTATAGCTGCTCTCCCACTCAGTGTTACTGCACCTATCAGAGTTCAGAAGAGGACTTCATGTTCCTGTCTGAAATGCTCTGCCAGTTCTCTTTCCTCCTTTTGCAGTCAACGTTCCTGATTCTGCTCTTTCTACTTTTCTTACTTGTCTCTGTTGGTATGGCAGAGGAGGTCCTAAAGGTGTTTTCCTCTTTTATCTCTATTTTAGCATTGATCACTTTGCCTCAGCACAGGCTGAGTGCCTCAGTTTCTCCTCTTCCTTCCCATAGCTCATTTCCTCCCTGTTTTGTCAGTCAGACTGCATAAATCCAGCAGGGCTGTAGATCTCTTCCTTATTCCATCTGTAGAGCTGGAGATGCACCAGGGCTCACATCTACAGTCTCCTCATTTCCCACAGCTCAGATATCTCACAGTCAGCTTGAATACTTGTTTTTATTCCTTGGGGAGGGTCTTTGTCACTGAGCCTGCTCAGGCACATTGTAACCTATATGTAGATTACTGACACAAAGGCAGGTTTTTTTCCCTCTGCTCTTTTCTGTTTCCAGGACTGCTGGATGTCTGTGTTTTGGGCAGCTTAGTAGCAAAACTCATGAGTGGGCAGCCCAAAAAAGTCATGTTGTGCATCTTGAGGTTAATTGTGGAAGGCAGTAGAGCTAGATTAGGGAAATCCCTCTTCTGAACAACTCTGAGAAGGTCCTTAGAGTCCCTTCTCTCCAGTTTGTGACTTTAGGAATTGAGTGCGATTGTTTTTGCACTTGCAAAGAGCAGTCAGAGCAGGGCTATCCCAATGGGCTTCTCTCTTTTCACTCCATCTCTTTCTCTGTATGATGGTCTCAGATGCTCTCTGTGCGGAGGGGTTTTTCCACTCTAAGAGGAGGGGCTGTGTGAGGATCTGTACCAATGCTGTGATGTATGAGTTGCTGTGACCGTTTGCTCTTGTCTCTCTGCTGCTGGGGCTAACTCAGGGCTGAGATTCTGGAGGACACCACCATGACTTGTTCTCCTTTCCTGTTTTCTTTGCAGGACGATCCATGGACTGATCTACAATGCACTAAAGCTGTTCATGGAGATGAACCAAAAGCTTTTTGATGACTGCACACAGCAATACAAGGCAGAGAAGCAGAAGTGAGTAAGAGCTGCTTGCCCAGTGGCTTGAGCTCGTTGTGGAGTCTCTTTGAATATGCTAACAGCTGGTAGATCCCAGTAGACAGAGGGGGAATGAAAGGCTGGTGCAAATCATTTTATCAGAAAGTAGAGGGCTGCTCAGCAGTAACTGTATGTGGGGGTGAGAAGAGTTAGTAAACATGTGGTCAGGTAATCCTTCCACTTCTGCTGAAGCAGTTAGCTTGGAAAAGAGCGACAGAGTTTTCTGGGTCATGAGGAAGTAAACTGCAGTGTGAAAAGTCTGCTTAGCTTTACAGAGAAGCTTTTGGTCTGCCTTGAAAATATTTAGCAGTTCTTATATGTCTTGGTAATGCTTGTAGAATCCTGCTGCTTTAGAAAGTGTTTTCTGAATAATTTTGCTGTGGAGAGCGTAATGAATCTTTTGCACCACAGGATGCTTTCAGTTTTCCAGTAATAAAGATGGAATAATATCTGGAACTTCGAAGAGCAAATGGTGGGGATAAAAATCTTAGCTCAGCAAGTATCTGTGCCGTGATGCAAAGAGAAAACACTGCTCTTTCTGCTGCCTTGTGTTCAGAGTGATTGGTGAGTCCAGTCAGTTCATTAAGATAGAAAGAAACTTTTTCTTTCCCAAGTCAGATTTCTGCTGGCTTTGTTTTGCAGAAGAGCAATAAATAGCAAAGGTGAGATGTGGAGTTTGGGGGTGGGTAACATATGGAGAAATGAGTAGTTTGCAGTTTCTAAGCTGACGGCGTTAATAACTTTTTTTGCTGCCCAGTTATGAAGGGACAGAAGTCACCTGTGTCTCTGGAATGACAGATGTATCCCAACAGTACATGAAGTCATACTGGGCCTAGCTGGGAACAAGTAGCACATGCACCCCGTTGTGACTTGCCCAGAGACTCTGTGCATGCTTAGTGCAGACTGCCTCAGGAGGGGGGACTTTGAGGACCCAAAAGGGTACCAGTGGCCTATTGGTATAGCTTCTGTGGAGACAGAGGAATATTAAACATCTATCTGCCTTGCCTAGTCTTCCAGAGGACCCTTCTGATGTGAGGGTTGCTAGGAGTTGAAGAACTGTAAGTGCCAGTTGCTACCACAGCAGTGGATTGGCAGCAAAGGTTCTGCTCAGGCATGGAGCAGGCTCTGCAAGGCAGTGGTCACAGCCCCGAGCTGCTGGAGTTAAAGGAATGCACAATGCTATCTGACATAGGGGTTTGAATTTTGGCTGGTCCTGTGTGGAGTTGGATTCAGTGATCCTCATGGATCCCTTCCAACTTAGGAGATTCTGTGATTCTTTAGTATTTTCCCTGTTCTAGGGCATTTGTGAAGCCCGTTCTGGATCCCTCCATACATTTTAAGTCACAATCAAAGCATATTTATGCTGAGGTCTATCTGCCATTTCCATCAGGCTTTTTCTATCTCCTACAGCTTATTCCTGCTCTCTGCTGTTGCAGGTGACAGTGAGCAGTACCAGTGTGCAGCTTATGGAGGATTATTCTGCAAAAGATCCACAAAGTGTAAAATCATAGAATTGCTTGGGCTGGAAGGAAGACCATCCAGTCCCAATCCCTCTGGGTGGGCTGGGTTGCCACCCACCAGATCAGGCTGCCCAGGGCCTTGGGGGTACATACCTGCAGGGGTGGGCACAACTTTTCTGGGCAACCTGTTCCAGTGCCTCATCACCCTCTGAGTGAAATTTCTTTCCCTAATGTCTAATCTAAATCTCCCCTCTTTTAGTTAAAAGCTATCCCTCCTTGTCTGATCACTATCAGACCGTGGACGCAGTCAGTCCCCCTCCTGCTTATAAGCTCCCTTCAAGTACTGGAAGGTCACTGTGAGGTCTCTCCACAGCCTTCTCTTCTTCAGACTGAACAAGCCCAGCTCCCTCAGCCTTTCTTCACAGGAGAGGAGCTGCAGCCCTCTGAGCATCTTCATAACCCTCTCCAACAGCTCCACATCTTTTTTGTGCTTAGGGCTCCAGGTCTGGACACAGTACTGCAGGTAGGGCCTGACAAGGGCAGAGCAGAGGAGAACAATCCTTTCCTTCTTGCTTTTCTACCACCTCTCTTTTGATGCAGCCCAGGATGCTGTCGTTCTTCCAGGCTGCAAATGCACACTGCTTGCTCATTTTCCACTTTTTATCCACCAGGACCCCCAAGTCCTTCTCCAGTGGGCTGCTCTCACGGAGATCTTTTCCCAGTCTGTACACATATCTGGGATTCCCCTGACACAAGTGCAACATCTTGTTAAACCTCAATATGTTCACGCGTCCACTTCTCAAGTTTGCCCAGGTTCCTTTGGGTGGCATCCATTTTGCACCACTCAGCTTAATGTCAGCAGCACACTTGCTGAGTGTGCCCTCAGTCCCACTGTTTGTCAGAAATAAGGATGCTGAAGAACACTGGTCACAAGATGGACCCCTGGGGCACACCACTAATCACCAGCTTCTATCTGGGTGTTTATCTGTTGACCTCAGCCCTCTGGCTGTGACCATTCAACCAATTCTTTATCCACCAACTAGTCAGCCTTCAAATCCATATCTCTCCAGCTTAGAGACAAGAACACGGTGTAGGACTGTGTCACAGGCCTTGTAGAAGTACAGGTGGATGACATCAGTTGCCTTTTCTTTGTCCACTGCTGCCATCGCTTCATCACAGAAAGCCACCAGATTGGTGAGGCATGATGTGCCCTTGGTGAAGCTGTGCTGGTGTGAATCACCTCCTCGTCTCTCACATGCTGTAACATCTCTTCCAGGAGAATCTGTTCCATAATCTTCTCAAGCATGGACATTTGGTGAGGCTCACTGGCCTGTAGTTCTCTTGATCTTCCTTTCTTTAAAACAGGAGCGAGTTTTCCTTTTTCCAGCTACCATGGTCTTCATCTGGACTTATTCTTTGGTTACAGTGGGAGGGATTTTGCTCCCCCAACTTCCACTTAGAGGTCTGGGGATGTGGGAGATACGAGAAGCCTGACTAGCAGTGAAGACTATGACAGTACATCAGTCTTCTGTGTCCATTGTTGCCAGTGCAAATGATGAAGGGGCAGAACCATTCTCATTTATCAGGGGTTCACTCTCCATGGTTTGTCTCTTCTAACCTGTAGAACCCCTTGTTATTTTTCACTTCCCTTGCCTAGTTCCATCTGCATCTTGGCCTTCCTGATCCCAACTCTCCATGTTCAGACAGCATCCCTATATTTTTCCCTGGCCACCCATCGCTGTTTCTGCTGCCTATACTTTTCCTTCTCCTTCTTATCCCTCAGTGTGACCAGCAGGTTCTTGCTCAGCCTTGCTAGTTTCCTGCTCTCTCTGTGTATTTCTCCTACTAGGGGGATGGAGAGCTCTTGTGCTCTCAGAAAGGTGTCCTTAAGGAGTTGCCTCCTCTGTTCCATTCATATGTTTCTAAGGGCAGTTTTCCAAGGGCTCCTAACTAACAGTTCCTTAAACAGCTGGAACTGCTGTGTTCTCCTAAAATTCAAGGTTCTGACTCTGCTCTTCATCATGCCCATATTCCTCGAGATCACAACCTTGTAGCACGCTTGCTACGATCCAGACTGCCTCAGTTATTGAGCTCCTTCATGGTCTGCTCTGCACTGATGAGCACCAAATCTTGTAACGTTTCACCTCTGGTTGTTCTGTTCAGTACTCAGACCAGGAAGTTATGCTCAGTGCACTTTGGGATGACTTGCAGCCCACTGTGTTGCTTTCCCATCAGACACACAGGCAGTTGAAATCCTCTATCAAGATGAGACCTAAGATGAGACCTGTGAGCACAGTGCCTTTGCAGCTGAAGTAAGAAAGCCTCGCTAACAGGCTCCCCTTCATCAGGCAGCCTGTAGTGGACCTGGAGCACCAAGTGTCCTTCACTGATGTAGTCAACATGACTCTTACCTGTTTCTTAGGGTCACTTCAGAGGCAACCCTCAGAAAATCAAGCATGTGCTTGGGAATATGAGTTTACCTGAGAAGTATGCCTCAGTTCTTTGCTGAAGGCCATTGTGGAAATGCCCTCTTCTCCCTCTGTGTCTTTAAAACTTCAGCCATACACAAGCAAATGCATGTACCCTTAACACTTCGGCTGCACATTCTGAACTGTAATAGAAAATAAGTCATATCAGGAATAACTTGTTTCTCTTACAGGAAGCAGTGTTGTTTAGTTGTATCTCCCCTGTGGAAGGAGACAGTTTTGTCATGAAAGAGTGTCTTGGAGGCTGCAGGGCCATTCCTGCCCTGCCCCTTGCTTGCTCTTCTTTCAGCCTGGTCCAATGAACAGCAGTCCCAGCAGCTGCCTCCACAGCTCATTTCTGCTGTCTCACTGGCAGAGGTCACTGCAGACCAGGGCCTGCTGGTGCACAGGGATGTGAGGTTGCAATCAACTGCTGTTCTCTTTGCAAATGTGAGACTTAAATGGAGTAGTAGTTGCGCTTGTTTTCTAAAATACAATCTTAATGTTATGAAGTTTATTGTTTTAGGAGTAAAGTAGTGTTCCTGAGGCTGCTGAGAGAGTGCTGACTGGATTGCTGTAATGCAGGATCAATCCTTAACTGCACGATACCTGATGATTTCTGCAGGATCTCTGCCTTGTCCAGGGAGACTGACGAGTTTGAAAAGCTAAAGAAGACGAGGCAGCTTCTTTGTAGCCAGAAAAAGGAGTAGGCATATAAAATGTTTTCCATGGGGGCCCCTAGAGGCCTTGTACTACCAACTGAGAAAAAGCAAATGTGGCAAAGACCACGTTATCGTGTGCAGCTGGAGGCAATTACAGAGTAAGGACTTCCTTGATGTGGACAAGCAGGACTCCTGATAGACCAGTAGCTAGGATAAGAGCCAGAGAAGTTGAAAAGCAGAAATGAAGCAGAGATTTTAGTGCAGAGGTTTAAAATGTAAAAGGGAATACTAGCAAGGGGTGGTGGAAAGTCACCTCTGTGGGGGAAAGTTCACTGCGCTGGGATTTACGAGCAGCCAAGTTTGAACGGTCACATGAGGACTGCAGCAAAGTCTGTGCCAAGCTGAAGAGCTGTTTACCCCAGAACCCAGGCTCTCAACTGTGCTCATGCATCACAGAGGCGAGGAGAAGGTTCCTGTGCCACCTGCTGCTGCTGCTGCTGCCCCACTGTGCTCTGGGCTGAGCGAGGAGCACGCCTGCCTGCCTGCCTGCCTGCCTGCCTCCCTGGGCTGGCTGCAGCACATCTATTCTTCTTGCCCCGTCTCACCTCTGGATTGAAAACCGGGCTCTCTGAAGGGCTGAGCAGCTCTTCCCTTACCTGTGCACTTCTGCTGTCCCTATTCTTGTCTTCCTGTTGGTGAAAGCTGTGCTGCCCCCGGGAGTTCACATTGTGCTCTCTCTGTCTGCAGGGGGAGGTTCAGGATGAAGGAACGAGAAGAAATGTGGCAGAAAATAGAGGAGCTGGCCCGGCTGAACCCTCAGGTGTGTAACAGCAGGATGTGGGACAGACAGAACAAGAATGTGCTGGGGGAGCTAGGCTTGCTTCCTGAGCTCATGAGGGCAGGCTGTAGCACCTCAGTCTTGTGCACACAGTGCTGATCTGTCCCTTTCAGGCTATGTTTTACCAGTCTGGGCTTCAGCAGTATTGACTCTGGATTATGCTGGTCAGGGTGTGTGTATTTGTGGACTCCTCTCTTGGCTGTGGCTACACGTGCAGTTTGCTGTGGCTCATTTGGGTGCCACAGGCAAAAATGGATGAGAGAAAATGCTCCTCTCCTGACCGTGCACATGCTGTGACTTTGAGAGTGCCAGAAAGGGTGACTGGAGGAAGTGTGCCACGCTGTTAGGATGCTGAGGGGAGGAAATTTGGTGTTGGATGATGTGCTCATTCCCCAGTGTTCTGTGTTATCTGCAGTATCCCATGTATTATGCACCTCCATCATTGCCTCTGGTCTGCTGCATGGAAACAGAGACCCCGACTGCAGAGGATATTCAGCTACTGAAGAAAACAGTGGAGACAGAGGCTGTGCAGGTGTGTAAGTGACGAGGGGCCTTCCAGATTCTGCTCAGGGCATGACCAGTTAGTGCAGGGTCCAGCAGGCAGAACAGCTCGTTCAAAACGTCCTGAGGGTAAATGCCCCCTGCTCTAATTCCTGGTTCTTAGACATCAGCCTGTGCAAGTGGGGCTTCTCTGCGTCCTTGTGGTCTGTGGCTCTCAGCCTGTTCTGTAGCACGTCACTGTGTCACTGTGTCAGCCAGCAAAGCAGTTGGTATCAGAGGGGAAGGTTTAGGCTGTACAGGGTTGAATGGGTGTGCTGCAGATACCTGACTTCTTTGGTTTGTCTGTAGATGCTGAAAGACATTAAGAAGGAGAAGGTTTTGCTGCGCCGGAAATCTGAGCTTCCTCAGGACGTCTACACTATAAAAGCCCTGGAGGCCCACAAGAGAGCAGAAGAGTTTCTCACCTCAAACCAGGAGGCTCTCTGACGGGCTCAGAAGCTGGCCCAAGAAGCTATGTCCCATCCCTTTCCCCCAGGGGTCACAGAAATGCACTCGGTTCTCATGTGTAATAAGGAATGAACATGGTGAGCCGTGCCTGTCCTCCACTCCATCCACATCCCTGCAGGATAGATCTGTTTTTATGTTGTACCTTCTATCTCACCACTGCCATCTCCTCCTGCTTCTCCTCCTCCCACACACGCAGTGTGTGTGTGCGAAGGGAACCTGTCTGCCCTGCCGGTCCAGGCAGGGGTTGCTTCATTTCCAGTTGCTGCCTGGTTTTTGCTCTTCCTGGGAGCCTTGCAGGGCAGGCAGGCGCTTCCTGTGGCTCTGCTAGAAGGAGGGCTGAAGGGAGCTGCTCCGGGCTCTCTGTAAGCATAGAGAGAACCGAGCCCCTCCGCGGCTCACCTCTGCGGGGCGGCTGAGCCGGGCAGCGGTGCAGAGCAGTTGACCTCTCAGGATCAGCCTGAGCTGCCCAGTTCAACCCAGCCTGAGCCAGGTGTGTTGGCTGGAGACTGCTGTGCGTGGCTCAGCATGCTGCAGCCATCCCAGGTGCCCGCCTCCGTGTGCCTGCCCCAGTGCTGCTTGCGGTGACCAGAGGCTGAGCGCGTGGTGGGAGCGGCTGGCAGAGTTTGTGGGGGCTCTGCCAGCTCTCCACCCTGCCTCAGGGTGCAGCTCAGCAGTGGGAGGGCTCACGTATAGCAGGAGATGTTTGCTTCCGCCTTTCTTTTGCCTCTAGCCCTCCGTTCTGTTCCCCTGTTGGTGGAGTGGGGGTTCAGTGCTTCGCCACCCCCAGTATAGCTGGGTGCAAGCACTGCATCTTATTGCTTCCCTCCTTTTAGAGCATCCTTAGAAGCTCTCTTGTGGGAAAGTAAATTCCTTCGGCTCTTTGTGTTGGTCCTCGCTAAGTCGTCTCCATTCCAATGTCTTGGGTAGTTGTGGGCCCAGAGTTAACTTCTGCTTTGTAGCAGGTGTCAGCCACTGACTTCTGCTTTCTTCCTCCTCCTCCTGCTCAATTAAAATACTCCCGCAGCTTTCCCTCTGTTGTTCCCATCCTTAGCTCTGCAGTGGCTGGGGTTTCTAGGAAGCTTGTGCTGCTAAAGTCATTTCTGCAAATTAGTGGAAGCAATGGATACACGTTTACGGGGCCAGGCCAAGTTTGTGCGTGTTCAGTTGTCTCCTCTTTATGACCAGTGGCGAGATGCCACCATCGAATTGCTTCTGTAGGTGCTCTGAGCAGTTTGCCTCGCCTCTTCCTTCAGCACCTGCTGTGGCCCGAGGCCCTCGTTTGCTGCGTGGCGCAGCAGGGAAGTGCTGTGCTGTGCTCATTTAGCATTTAGAGCGCACTCGATAGCCCAGGGGCTCGTGCAGCACTTGGCTGCTACTGTGATCCAGCTCTCGGAGCTCTGTCTCCTACCTTCTTGTGGTGCAGATTCAATCCCAGACCAAGGCGATAAGTAAGGGAGTGGTCTTTGCTGCTTACTGCTGCGCTTGCTTGCTTGACACATAAGCTTGAGTGGGATGGCAGTAGTGCAGGGAGCTTACGGAGTCGGTGCCGGTCGGACACTGCTTTGCAGCATCCATAGGTCATTGCAGAAGGTCCTGGTGTATCTGTTTTGTCCCCACCAGCAGACCCCTTCCAGGTCGGAGCTGGTGTGCAGCGCATCTCCTTTCCTCCCCCCCAAACCAAGCTGATCCCTCCCTGTGTATCCAGTGCCCCCTGCTCCCTTTAGGCATGCCATCATCTCTTGGGAGCAGCTGCCAAGCGTGAGTACGGGACGGATCACCCACACCGCGCAGGACCCCGCCTCCCCTGGCTCCGTGCGCCGGGCCGGTTCATCAGGAGACTTACAAACACCTCAGGGAGGTTATTGCTTATTTAGAACATGACTCTGAGCTCATGGTCAGCTGCCAGTCGATTACCTCACGTGAGCCTGGCACAGCACGTAGACACGCGCCGGAGGCGGGCAGGAGCGGCAGGCGGCGGGGCTGCAGCTGAGGGTTGCTACCTGCAGCTGGGCTGGGGATGCTCCTTCCTCGTCCCGGGGCTGGAGCAGCACTGCTGGGAGCAGGCCGTGCGCAGGGCAGGGTGGTGATGCGTGGTGCCTACGTGCTGTGCGGCTGCCACGTTCTCATAGCTTTGTGTGTCGCGTTCCGGATCAGGGACCTCACGCTCGGTACCTTACATTGCCATTAGTTTACTGCCTCCTCATTCCAGTCCTGGACTTTGAAGAAGGGGACCACGGGAGGTGGGGGGAGCACATTTGTGCTCTCTGCCGCCCGCAGGCCTGCATCTGCCACACTACAGCTGCCCCTCACTCCACACCCGGTCGGTAGCGTTAATGCTCATCTCTGCCTTTGCCTTTCCCCACATCAGCCAAACGGACAGAACTGGAGCTGCCTCTTCCACGTCACGTGGCCCCTCCTCGGAGGGAACGAGCAAAACTAACTACTGCGTTCACCCCCTGGACACAAGTATTAAGCTGCTTACAGTTCATATGTACATATGGTGTACTTTATTTTCAGTAGAGCATTACATAGTATGAAAGTGTTGGATTTTGTACAGATGTCCCTGTATGTACAGTACTAAATAAAACCAATCTCTTGGAAAGACACGTTGGGCTCGACCTGCGGTGGCTGACGTGCACCGTGCGCGGGGAAGGGTCACCGGGATGGCGTTTGTCCCGTGCTGACCCAGCCACGGCCGGGCACGACCCGTCCTGCCCGCGCACGCGGGGTCAGAAGCGGTTCTGCAGCACCGGGACGGCGCGGCCGGAGCCGGGCGGGAGAGGGGGGGAGGTCGGACCGCGTCAACGGGCAGAACGGGGGTGAGCGCCGTCTGCGGGCAGGAGGACGGACGGAGGACGAGCCGCGGGGCCGGGCTCGGCCTTCACTTCCACTCGGGCCCGGAGCTGCCCGCGCCGTGCCGGGCCTGCAGCGCGCGCTGCACCACCGCCTGCCATTGCTCGTCCGAGATCTGGCTGGCCCAGGCGGGGATGCCCAGCGTGGGCAGCTTCACGCCCGCCATCGTCCTCTTCACCAGCTCCACGTGCTCTGCGGGCAGAAAGCCGTGAGCGAAGCGGGCCGGCGCGGAGCCGCGAAGCCCCCGAGGAGCCTCCGTTACCTGGGTCCATGGGGATGGAGCCGCGGCCGCCCTGCGCCGCCGCGCCTTCCTCCTCCTCGTCCTCGCTGTCCGCGGGCGGCTCGGGCAGGTGCAGCCTCAGCATCTGAGACAAAATGGGGCGGCGGTGGGCCGGGGCCGCGCTCCCTCCGCCGCCGGCTCCCCTCCCCCCGCGCTGCCCCGCGCCGCCCCGCTACCTGCAGCCGCTCCTGGAGGCCGGGGCCAGGCTCGGCGCCGCCCGCGGGAGGGCCCGGCTCGGCGGGGCCCTGCTCCGGCTCCTGGCTCAGCGGCTGGTACAGGTACCCGCCGGCCCCCTCCTCTTCCTCCTCCTCTTCTTCCTCCTCCTCCTCTTCATCCTCCTCGTCGCCGCTCCATCCCGCCGCTCCCTCGGGGGCCTCCGGCGGCCCCGGCTCCTCGGGACACACCCGCTCCGGCCCCATCCTCCGCGCCACCGCCATGCACCGGGCGCGGCCCCGCCGCCACCCGGAAGCCGCCCCGCCGCCGGGCACTGTGGGTGCCGTAGTCCCGCGGCGGACTCCGCCCACCGGAGAGACCCCCGCCCTCTCGGCCGCCCCGGGGTGCTCCGTCGGGGACCCGCCGCCCCAGCGTCCCGAAGCCCTGAGGTTCGGCGGGTCCCCGTCGGGCCGCCCGGAGTCGGGAGGGAGGAGAGGAGGGAGAGGAGGAGGGACGGAGCGCCGCGGGGCGGGCGGGGCGGCGCCGGACTACAAGTCCCAGCGAGCGGCGGGCGCCGCGGAGAGGTGCCGAGCTCCTCCGCGCCGCCAGGTACCGCGCTGCGCCCGGCGGGCCCGCCCGCACGGGCGGAGCGCGGTGCCGCCGGACTACA